GTGCTGGGCGCTCAGATAGAGACGCACAACAGTCTCGTTGCTTCTTTTCTCTAATAGCTGTTCTTTTACTTCGCTTCTTTTCTTCTCTGTTCTTTAAGGCCTTACCTCTTTACTGTTCTTTAAAACCTTGCTTCTTTTCTATTCTTTAAAGTCTCTTTCCTTAGACTTGCACTGTCCCATGTTCCCTTTAAAGTGTCAGTCCTCAGACTCGCAGACACACCAACAACCAGCAGCAGCAGCATTCTCACAAGCAGCCCACCAAGCCAAACCCATCAAATCCAACCAAATCAGTCCTCCAAGTCCTCCTTCAGCAAGACTTTTATATCCAGTGGTAGACAAAGAGGTGGAGCAACAGTTCTCGCGGAGGGGCGTGACATTGTAACAGGAGAAACCTTCATTCCTGCTTCTCTGAATGTAAACAACCTCGCCCTCTGCCAAACTCAGCCTGAACATCATGGAGCACATCTGTGCTATGTCAGGTTCTCATAGGCCTCGTAATCCGCTCCCCACAGACTACCACACAGACTCCAGTAGTGCTTTTAACTGTGTGCTGTCCAGCACATGGTGATATTTTGACCATCACCCAAACGATGGAGGTCACCTATGTGACAGGTTAACTACAGTGCCCTGTGTGCCATATACTTTGTGTCTGTGGACGTTGTAAAGCCACACCAGAACGTTGTAAAACTGTTCTGGTGAACAGTTCTTGTTTATTTTCGTCTCTCCACATACCTGTCTTTCTGGTGTGTCTCATTCCTTCCTGCAGCTCTTGGCAGTTCTGGAATCTTCCTGCAGGCATGAAGGCTGCCCGTATGTATTTCTTGTAGGGAAAGTTGGTTGGTGACAACTTTGTGTTAAAAAAAAAAAACCCACACTTTGCCAATCTTTTTTGAATGGTGTGTTCACTGGACCTACACCCTAGGTTGGCAGGTTTTCCTTTCAGCCATCTGTCTGACTGTTGTCCTTTGGACATTAACATGTCTTTTTCCTCGCAGTCCGTCTTCTTTGGGATTATTAGCATCACATCTGTGGCAAGCTAATGTGTGGTTTTCTTTACGTTTTTCCTGTCTGGAGTTTATTTGATTTTCTTTGATATTCCAGTTTTCTGTCAGTTCATTTGTTTGAAGATAACTTGGAAAATGCTCTCAAAAGAATTCCAGACTGAATGTGGTTCTGAATCCACATCCAAGGATTTCTTGAAGGCTGCCTGTGTGGCTGCACCCCGGCACCTTCAGCAGTACCTGTACCTTTCCTACACCTTGGGCAGTTCGCTCTCCAGGAGCTTTCCCATAGCTGTGTTCATGTGGGGTTTCATGAACAATCCTCAAGAATGATTTTAACACTGGGTTTTTTTCTGTCACCTTTGTTATTTTGGAGAAAACAGTAAACTAACATTGTGGTTTTAAGAGATGCCTTCCTATTTCCTAGCCAGTTTAGAACAAGCTTCCCAGATATTTAATGTGCCTTAAAATCTGTTTATCTGTGACTTTTCTGTAATTTTTTCTAGGCCCACAAGGAAGGACTCCCAAGGTATCATCCACATAGAAATGCCAGAACATTCAAGTTGGCATACCATTCCTGGATGCTATGGGTTTTTTGTTTGTTTTTGTTTTGGGCAGTACTGGAGCTTGAACTGAGGGTGTTGAGTTTGCTAGGCAGGTGTTTTCCCACTTGAGTCATGCCCCCAACTGTTTTTTGCTTGAGTTATTTTTTAGATATTGTTTTGAGCCCTCCTACCAATGGCTTCCCTCATAATTGAAAGAGCAGATGTGTGCCACCACACCTGGCTTGTTTGTTGAGATGGAGTCTTCCTAACTTTTGGCCTCAAACCAGGATCTTCCTAAACTCTTCCTGTGCAGCTGGGATTGCAGCTTGAGTCACCACTCCTGGCCCATTTTCATGTGTGGTACAGAAGTACTTTAATAGCTAGTGTGGTGGTACATGTCTATAATCCCAGCTACTCTGGAGGGTGAGACAAAGGTTAGAGAAATTCAGGCCATCCTGGTGATACAGCAAAACACTATCTCAAAAAAGAAAAAAAATCAACTTTTGAATGCTGTTCATAAAGTTAACTTTTCTGGGCCTTATCCCGAGCTAGCTCCCCTTCCCTCTCTTCTCAGTCTTCTGGTGGTTCCTTTAACTCACAGATGGAATCCCCACTATTCAGAGCACAGTGCTGGCTGGGTTAAGATGAGCTTCAAGTAAGGGAAGAGAGTTCCCCTTACCTCCAGTCACATGCCTGTCCTAGGTAGGTAATCCAGGCACACAGTTCTACAGAAAGGCGAAACGTGTCACAAAAATGAACAGATAGGTGCTGAATTATTGATCCAGAGTCTGCCTTGGGGCCCCATCATTTTTACCCATTTCTTTCCACTCAGTTAACAAGGGTTTTTTGTTTTTTGTTTTTTTCTTTTATTATTCATATGTGCATACAAGGCTTGGGTCATTTCTCCCCCCTGTCCCCACCTCCTCCCTTACCACCCACTCCGCCCCCTCCCTCTCCCCCCTACTCCCTCAATACCCAGCAGAAACTATTTTGCCCTTATCTCTAATTTTGTTGTAGAGAGAGTATAAGCAATAATAGGAAGGAACAAGGGGTTTTGCTGGTTGAGATAAGGATAGCTATACAGGGAGTTGACTCACATTAATTTCCTGTGTGTGGGTGTTACCTTCTAGGTTAATTCTTTTTGATTTCACCTTTTCCCTAGTTCCTGGTCCCCTTCTCCTGTTGGCCTCAGTTGCTTTTAAGGTATCTGCTTTAGTTTCTCTGCGTTAAGGGCAACAAATGCTAGCTAATTTTTTAGGTGTCTTACCTATCCTCACCCCTCCCTAACAAGGGTTTTTAATAATAGTGAATGAGAACAGATTTCTTTTAGTTAAAAAGCTATACTTCAGCCAGGCTCTGGTGCCTCACACCTGTAACCCTAGCTACTCAGCAGGCAGAGATCGGGAGGATTGCGGTTCAAAGCCAGCCTGGCAAATAGTCGGTGAGTCCCTGTCTCGAGAATACACAACATGGTGCTGATTTCAGCAGCACATGAACTAAAATTGGAACAATACAAAGGAGATTGGCATGGCCCCTGCACGAGGATGGCATGCAAATTCATGAAGTGGTCCATATTTTTAAAAAGTAATACCCAACACAAAAAAGAGCTGGTCTAGCGCCTGTCTAGCAAGTGTGAGGCCCTGAGTTCAAACCCTAGTGCCACCAAAAAAAAGAACTATACTGCAACATAACAACTTTGTAAAAGAAATACACATTTTCTGCCCTGCTTCTTCCTTAATGTAGCAGTTTAATTGTTTACGTATTTCTCTTTGACCTTTTTCCATTTTATATATTTTGTATAATTATGATGCATAATTTTACAGTCTGCATTTTTTTTTGGGGGTAGCGTTAGGACTGCACTTGGGCCTCGTGTTTTCTGCCGCCTGACCTCACCCCCAGCCCTTTTTGCTTTTGTTACTTTGGGGATAGTGTCTTGCTCTTCACTGACCTAAACTGCAATCCTATTTATGCTTCCCACATAGTTGGGGTGACAGGTGCACCCCACCGTGCCCAGTTTTTTATTGGCTACGATGGGGGTCTTTTGCTTGTGTTGGCCTCAAACTGTGATGCTCCCAATTTCTGCCTCCTGAGTAAGATTACAGAGATGAGCTGTGCCCAGCTCAGTCTCTGTTTTTTCATTATCAAACTTTTTTAACTTCAACATAATTTTCATAATTATACTACTTAATTACTATTTGATAGTTTTTTTCATTGGTATGCTAGCATTTTGTTGGGTGAATATTTTTCTAGTTTTCAACATTAAAAGTAATTGAACGTCTTTAACTCAGGAATCCCATATCCAAAAATAATTCTATAGAGGAAAAAAGCACAGTAGGGATATTTTTTGTGATTCTTAATACAGACTGTGTTTCAAAAAATATGATATGGTACAACCAGTGATTTTAAAATAGCATTTGAATTAGGAACTAAAACTTTAAAACAATTGGTTTGTTTTAGCAGCTGTGTTAGTTACCTTCCTATCACTGTGACAAAATACCTGAAGGGAACAACCTACAGGGAAAATGGCAACAGCATGTAGGAAGCAAAGAAATAGGAAGAGGGAAAAGGAGGAGCCAGGGTTCCGGTGTCCCCTTCCTTCCACCAGGCACAGCCTACTGGGCCTCCCACCTCCTCCCAGCAACTCCCAGGGCTGGGGACAAAACCTTTGTACTCGGTTTTGTTTTTTTTGGTACTGAGGCTTAAACTCCAGAGTAGCTAGGATTACAGGCGTGAGCCGCTGGCGCCCGGCTGGCCTTTGTACTCTTGCAGCTGATCGGTCCAGAGCCCAGCTGCAGCAGCTGGAATGAAGCTTCCAACGGCAAGTGTGTCTGGACTGCTCATAGGACTGAACTGTTTCCCTGTGGCTGCGGTTTGTACCTGAGGCTCCTTCTCCGCCCTGAGCGTTTGGCTGTGAGTGAATCGTCAAGTCAGTACCTGGTAGCATCCCGAAGGGCATTTGTTTTGAGCTTAGTGAGGCTCCGTGGTCAGCACCACATGGCCAGGGCTTGCCCATGACAGGCACCGTGTTGTCTCCGCAGGTGTGACCGGGTCACATCACTGTACCTGTGCTCTTACCCTTGAGAGAGGGTTTGTTTTGTTACTAAACATATTAGACACCAGTTTTCATTTGAGCAATTTGATGCAATCTCTTTGTTTTCAAATGAATAACTAACCAGACATGGGCGAAACTAAACTGTGATATTTATTTTGGAAGACAAAAACTTGGAAGTCAGTTGCCTCATTTCAGCTTCGAGAAATAGTCCCCAGCCCCTGTGTGCCATTGGGTGTAATACAAAAGGATTTTTGTGATAAATCTTGGCTGTCTTTAGCTTATCAAACTTACAAACCTGTCTTGGAAGATGACTGGGAAGATTTGCTTGAGGTCTTAGCTGAAGGGATCTTTTCGCCTGAAATGTGGACTTCGTGGTACGTTTTGTTCTCTGCTTCCTCCTAGGTTAAAAAGGCCTTCTTTGCCCTGGTAGCCAATGGGGTCCGAGCTGCGCCCCTGTGGGAGAGTAAGAAGCAGAGTTTCGTAGGTGAGTGGGATGGGAGGGTCCTGCTGCTTCTGCACACTGGAAATTTAAAACCCTGCCTGTGTTTCGTTGAATTCTTTTGTTTTGTTTTGTTTTTTTGGGCTTGTTTTAACTGAGCGACTTTGGGCACTGGAGGAGCTGGTGTGCCTCTGTCAGCTCCGAACAAAGTCCACGTGGATGCGGTGGTGAGACAGGAAGGAGTGGCTGTCCTCTTCCCACCGTTCATCATTCCCTTGTCAGGGCAAGCCTCAGGACGTGAATACGGTCCTTGTCTTTGCTAAATCACTGTTAAACGAGTACAAGTAGTATGTCACTTGTAACTACTTAGTCACCAGCGCTCTCGATCCAGTACGTACAGTAGATGGGGACAAGATTGTCTCTCCCTAGCCAGCACGTAATTTTCAAATGGCTCTGTATGTCTGCCTCCCCTCTAGAAGGTAATTTCCTAAGGGAAAAGGTTCAGACCTTTTCCAGCTCCATAGTTGTAGTGTCTGGCACACAGTAGGCACATAATAAATGGAGACTTCAAGCCGGGCACAGGTGGCTCACACCTTAATCCTAGCTCCTCAGGAGGCTGACATCAGAAGTATTGCTGTTTGAGGCCAGCCCAGGCAAATAGTTCTCAAGACACTATTTTGAAAATACCCATTACAAGTTAGGGCTGGCAGAGTGGCTCAAGTGGTAGAGCACCTGCCTCGCAAGCATGAGGCCCTGAGTTCAAACCCCAGTACCGACATCAAAAAATAGTAAGTGGAGACTTTCTTAAAACCATAGCGTTTAGGGTGTTTCTCAGGAAGTACTCCAAGTGTCCTGGAAGTGTCACATTCCTAAAGCTTATAGAACACTGTGTCGTGTTTTCAAGTACCTCAAATTACTTACCTCTAGCCACAATTCTCTTTGGATATTTTATAACAATTGGTGAATTTTCTCTCGTTGATCTGCCAGATACTCTGGTTAATTCCATATTTATGAGCAGGGTTAAGTGCGGCTGGATTTGCTTATCTATTTGGGGTAGACAATCCATTGTAGTTTTAAGAAATTCATGAAACTGTACTTGGGATCTTTCTGTTTCGTAAGCTTTTCTAGTAAATGCTACAGGTTCACTTGTCACTTAAAATTTTTCGCATCCATGGCTCTATTTTTAACGTGTGATTCTTTTTCCAGGAATGCTGACAATTACAGATTTCATAAACATCCTTCATAGGTACTATAAGTCACCTATGGTAAGTGGCAGTGCTGCTCACTGAGCTGCAGGGTGGGGAGGGGGTGTGAGCCAACCCTGGCTGCCCCGAGGATGGCACCCTCAGGCAGAGTAACAGGGAAAAGCAGCTTCATTCAGCTTGCAGAATTCCTTCGGTCCGAATCTACATTCTAATATATTTCCAGGACATTCTGAGTTTCACTAAGTTTCTGTTACTTGCCCCTCAGCCCTGGCGGCATCACAGATGCAGGATGGCCCTGAGCGTCCTTCAGGGCTGGGCAGGGTCGCACCTGTCCCTGTAGCTGGCCAGTCTGGGCCTCACTCTGAGATAAGTGGCCACAGGGCTTTATCCCTGCAGGCCTGTCAGTGTGTGGAGTGCTAGTGTGACCTCACCCACAATATTACAATGACTGTATGTACACTGTGGCTTTAAAGAAGGAAAAATAAGTAAAACCAAAACTGAAAAAAAAAAAACCACTCAGTTGTGACTTTTTTTCTGCCAAGTAGCAAAAAACTGTTGGCTGATGTTGGCAGAACCTCTGGCATCTGGTCAAGCCATTCTACAAGAGCACGTTTGAAAGCCACTCTGTCCTTTCTCTGTAGGGGGAGGTGTTGGTTTTTGTTTTTTGTTTTGTCTTGTTTGTTTGCAGCACTGGGGCCTGCTTCTTTTTGGGGGGGGGGCTGGGGGGTGGTACTGAGGTTTGAACTCAGGGCCTTACACTTGCTAAGCAGGTACTCTACCTACCGCTTGAGCCACTCTGCTAGTACTGGAGTTTGAACTCAGTCTTGTGCTTGCTAGGCAGGTGCTCTACCCCTGGAGCCATGCCCTTATCCCTTTCTGCTTTAGTTTATTTTTCAGATAGAGTCTTACTTTTTTGCCTGGGGCTGGCCTCAAACCATGATCCTCCTACATCTGCCTCCTTCATAGCTGGGATTACAGGCCTATACCACCATATCCAACTTGTTTTTTGAGATAGGGTCTCAATAACTTTTTGCCTGGCTGGCCTCCATATTCAATCCTCCCATCTCTACCTACTGATTCCAAGCCCGCACCACCAAGCCTGGCCCAAACAGTCTGTTCCTTATTGAATATGTTGATGTTTGTGATTTTATCAGCTGGGTTTTGGGTTTTGTTTGTCTACAATTGTGGAGCTCAGAGTTGTAGGCTTTATTTAACTAGTACTATGTGGGGTGTTTAAAAGGTGTAAGTCAGTACATTCAGTGTTGTTTTAAAGGTAATGGTCAGTTATCCAGTATGGCCGTGTGTTGTTTAACACGGAACACGTCGTGAGAAGTGTGTTGTCACTGAATTTCATTGTATGCACACATGGTGGAGTTGTTACGCAAACTAAGGCAGCCGTGACGTCCACGGTCTTGTAATCTTAGGACCACAGTCGCGTCTGTGTAGTCCATCTTTGACCAAAAATCATCTTGCGACCCATGACTAATTAATTCCTACTTAAAATACAAAAATAAGTTTCTTCATAAGGAGGAACTTTTACCGAAGACTGTAAGTATTCTACACGTCACGCGACATATCTGATTTCTCAAGCACCATGAATGCCAGCTGTCTGCTCAAGTGTGACTTTTAAGTGGGTAGATTTTGTTAACATACAGCAAATTCTGTGTAACAAATCTCAGCAGGAGTTGAAGTCAAAATTGCTAGAAGAGCAACTGAGTCTAAATATATAGCCCCAAGTTTTCTTCATATGTGAAAATATGTTTTTCTTCCTTATTGCCCCTCATTTTCTAATGAGCAACAGGAAATGCTGTTATGCAGGCCATGCTTTACTTCATTTTTCAGGTGATTACTTGTTCCTGTGTTGCACGTTAGCGTTTGTAAATAGAATTGTCCTTATTTGCAGGTACAGATTTATGAATTGGAGGAACACAAGATTGAAACGTGGAGAGGTAAGCCCCGTAACACCCAGAGAAGACGCCTCACTTTGTGTGAAATGGATGCTTTGGTGTCACACATCTTTTTTTTTTTTTTTTTTTTTTTTTTTGGTAAATCAGTTTGTTTTATTTAAAGACACAACATAGGTATTGAGAGTCTTTTCTTGGCTCAAACATTATTTCAAGAAAAGCAAAGCTTAGAATCACCTATACTGACATTACATGTGAAATATCTGCATTTACATTTTGTTGCACACCTAAGGTACATATACACATATACATTACACCCTATGCACACAAATATATAAGAACATTATCACACATCTTTTTGCTCTGCTTAATGATAATGTGACAGTTAAAGCATTTTGAGGTACTAACTGTACCCATTTGCCCATTCTGTGTGGCGGACATGCCTACAGCACCCACGGCCTGCACAGCCTCCAGCGGGGCTGGGGTACTGTAGAGAATCACGCTGAGCATCTGCCGTGCATAGGAAACATCCCAAGGACTTGCCTAACCTTAACAAAAGCAAGCTTTTGTCCTGAGTTCAACCCTAATTGTTTCTTTACCAATTATGGCAGAACATGGAACAAATAAACCTTAAACTAGACGGTTTATATCAAGTAACAAGAAAATAACTGTAGGAACTCTCTGTCACGTTGAAGATTATCCTTTACAATTACAATACACTTTTCTGTGGTGAAACTGCAAGAATACTTTAAATTCTTGTTTCATAATATGAGATTGGTTGTGTCAGTGAGACTCATGAGTGATGGTGGAGAGGGCAGAGACTGGTGGGTGCTCAAGGACCAGCTGAAGGAAGATTTTGAACTTGAAATTCAGGAGTCTGGCTTTGACTTCCCATAATACGCTTGATAGGATAAGCCACCTTTATAACTGGCTGAGAAATCTGAATGGCTGTTAGCAGTCTCAGAAGCTCTGCGGGCCCTTTTAGTTCCGTGTGATTTAAAAAGTGTCATCGAATGATATATTTGATTAATTATGGCTTTATCAAGCCAAGCGAAATGAGTTAAGTCAACACGGGATCCATATGGCCTGTTAGATGAAGTGTATGTAACCTAACACCACACATACTTCTTATCCAATTCTGCCACGCAAGTTCTTTCGACCAGGATTTAAGTGTATTTGCATTCCATATGCCTGGTATTTGGTAGTAATGATGCCAGGACATTCTCAGATGCCTTCTTTGTACAGACCTTGATAAAGCAGACTGATTACAGTTGATATCCTTACAAAGAAAATTTCTATATGCTGGAAAAACCCCAAGACACACTAGGTTTTGTGCATTCACTTATTAAAATAAAACAAGAACGTTTAAAGAACAAAGTTGGTTGTAACTGACTTTATCTTACAGCTTATGAAAACTGGTTTCAAAGCATTTTGTAAATTCTTCATTTCTTGAGAGTAATTTTAATGTAATAAAATCTAGCAAGTTCTGGTATTCCTTTTTTTTTTTATCAGATTGATTCTTTTTTTTTTTCCCCCGATGTTGTAAATACCTATTGGAAATGTTTTTCTTCAAAGGCAACATCCTAAAAAGAGTTGAAGTTGTTTAAAATAGCCAATAGTTTGGGATAAATTCAATTTATTTGGATTTTTAATTCTTCTAGTTATTATCTGTAAACTGAGGAGTATTTAAATTTTTGTAATAACCACAAACAGCAAATATGTTACTAACTGCATATTTTCTTTCTAAAAATACAGAGCTATATTTACAAGAAACATTTAAGCCTTTAGTGAATATATCTCCAGATGCAAGGTAAACTTATAGTTTTTTTCTTTTGAAAAGGTGCGTTGTAATGTATGTGGTTTATTACCATGATGGATTAGATAAATAGTAACAAACACATGTTTAGATGGGGCCAGCCTCCAATTCAGTAAGTTTAGGGACATTACAAATCACAGCCAACTCAGGCATGGTGGCACACAGCTATAATCCCAGCTCAGGAGAGTGAGGCAGGAGGATCACCAGTTCATTCGAAGCCAGCCTAGGCTACATAGTAAGATTCTGTCTCAAAAATAAGCAAAATCACAGCTGTTGTTGGTCCGAAGAGTTGACAGGTGAACTAAGAAGATGGTCTTGCTAAGCAGTTTTGAAAATCCAGCTCTCTGGGGGCAGGACCAGTCAAGGAACTGTGTTAAAATTGCCTCGTCTTGAGTGTAGCTGGCCAGCCCAGTCAGGGTGAGAGGGTAGAACCTGGGAACAGCAATGAAAGAAAATCTCCCTCCCCACCCCAGTCTGACCTAGGCCAGCACCCTAGAAAGCTTGGATCGAAAGTACAGGCTAGGCTAGGACTGGGCGTGGTCCGTGTAGCTAGGTGGTAGACCATAGGCCGGCATGTGCCGGCCCTGAGGTCGATCCCCAGCACTGGAAACAAAACCAAACAAGACAGAACAGACTAGCAGACCTTCTTAAAGCTCAGGACCACGAGCGAGAAAGACAAGGTAAATTGTTTGCTTTTATTATCTTATGTCCAGATTCTAAAAGAAAGACGCATTAACGGCCCTCTTGGGCTAGTGACAGGGAGGCAGCAAGGAGCGCAGATTGACGGGCACCGAGACAGCCGCCCAGGAGCCCACTGCCTGCCTCCTCCATCTGCTTTCCTGAGGCTTTAGGTCTTGTCCTCTTTCAAACAGCATCACTTAAACGTGCTGTTAGAAAACTACTCCCCTAGAGACTTCTATTTGAGAGATATTAACTGATTGTGAAAATCAAAATTTGCTGAGATCTCCACTTTAAAACTCTTCCATAAGTTAGTCAACCTTTTATTATAGCCACATAAAAATATGGGAAATACTTTCAAGCAGGGGTGGTCCAGAGCCTGCTGATTTTTTCTTAAAAGCCTCCTAACAACTTTAACGGCTTTTCCCACAGCCTCTTCGATGCTGTTTACTCGTTGATCAAGAATAAAATCCACAGATTGCCAGTTATTGACCCTATCAGTGGGAATGCACTCTATATACTCACCCACAAGAGAATCCTCAAGTTCCTCCAGCTTTTTGTAAGTAGCTCCTCGCACTTCTCCAGACGTAGATGCGCTTGCTTTCATTTGCTTCTGGTGCATTGGCTCCTGTGACTCACAACAAGAAACGGTTAGGTTTCAAGTCTCCATTTCTAAACTTCAGTTTCTCAACTTACTGCTGTTTGAATTGTACATTCTCAAAGTTGATTCCAATTACAAAGCTTTCACCTTTCAGTACAAGTATCAAAATAATGATAAGAAAAACACTTGGAATTCTCCACTTAAATTTGAACACTGTGTCGCCTACTGTACAGTTTGCACCTATTGTACTTGTCTCAAGGACAAAGTCAGCTGAGCCAGAATTGAGGGCAAAAATTGCTTCGGGATGTATTTGTCAATGACATGGTTCTAGAAGCATGATGAAAAGCTACTGTCCCTAAGGCTGTCTGCAGCAGTAATAGGAAATCCCAAAGCAGGTAACAAGTTGGCAAGGAGTACCATGTTGGTCCAAATCAGGCCGATGTCACTCATAGGTTTTCTTAAACCCAGAGCCTCTTGGTGTGGGCGATATTGGAAGAGGCTCCCGAGGAATAGGGAGTGTGCCAGGGGGCTTTTATGTTTCCCCTTAATTGCCTGCACTAAATCTGAGCTTATAAGTTATCCGTCAGATAGAGCACTAAGGGCATTAATGGTACAGAAGAGATCATTTGAAAGTCATTTTTCCAAAGGAGAAAGTAGATATCAGAAGTTTACTTTCTTTTTTGTGAGAATTTTTACTTTTTACTAAGGAATGTTTTAGTAATTTTTGCACAGACTGGTCCAAAGAGAATCCTTTATTCAGGTCAGCAGTGTGTGTGTGTTTGTGTGTGTGTGTGTGTGTGTGTGTGTGGTTTTCTTTTTTTAATTATTCATTTATTCACATGTGCATATGTGCATACGTTGTTTGGGTCCTTTCTCCTCCCTTCCCCCATCTCCACCCTCTCCCCACCCAGAAGTTTACTTCAAAGTAGCTCTCCTCTCCACAGCTGCCCATGGCAGGCTGGTGTGAGGTGTGGGCCACTTGCTGCAGAAGCACAGAGTTCAGTAATTGAGAAACACCTTGTCAATTAAACCAGTCTCATATTTCAGTAGTCTACATCTGTAAAACTTCATGGTTAAGTAAATGCTAAGAAATAAGGTAGGGAGGAGAAAAATAAGTTTAAAAAAATAAGAAGTTTCATTTGGGCTCACTGGCTTACATCCAGATGCTTGGAGGTAAAGATCACGAGGATCACAGTTCAAGACCAGCCCAGCCAAAAAGTAAGCAGGACCCCTTCTTAACCAATAAGCCAGGTGTAGTGGTGCACACCTGTCATCCCAGCTACTTGGGAGGCATAAATAGGAGAATCACAGTCCTAGCCCCACCCTGGGCAAGCAAGACCCTAATCTAAAAAAACAACTAAGACCTGTCTAAAAAGTAAAAATAATGAGACAACCTTAGGGGGTGTGGCTCAAGTGGTAGAGCACCTGCAAGCACAAGACCCCGAGCTCAAACCCCATACCACCAAAAAAAAACCCATGAAGTTGAGTAAAGAGACAGTCAAGGAGGAACGACTGAGGGATATGTCAGTCTTGGTTACCAGTTTGTAATCTGGGAGAGTGACAGCCTTAGTCCTTGAGGTTTCATGGGAGTGGGGGGGGAGCATTCTTCCGGCCCACATGTGCCAGGCTTGCAGCTTAGTTAACCTTGCAGTTACCATCTTAACCTCAGCCGTGACAGCTGCTTGCTCTTTGTCTGGCGCTGTCTTGAGCACTTCACACCCACTCTCATCCTCACTAACACCCTGTCAGGTAGGTGTTTTGATGAACCTCGTGCTATAGGTGATATAGCTGATCAAGGTCAAGCAACTTGGCCAAGGTGGTGTGCACACTCCCATTCCACAGCCACCTTAGCCTTCAGTGCGCCCCAGTCCAGAGTCACACGGGCATCTCTCTGATTCCCAGGCCCAGGACACCTCCACTCTCCTGCCACCACATGGGAGGGAGGTCTGCAGAGACCCCACACTTGGTGATAAAGGTGTGACGCCATCCCTTTACAGAGCTGCCTCAGATTTTCCTCTGCTGTAAAACTATGCCTCTGCCCAGGACTGCCTTATATTTGGGCCAATATGGTAATAAGAACCATGCTACTAGAATATTCAGCTGTAGGGCCTCAGTTGAAAATACGAGATTTAAATAAACGTTGGGGCCTGAATTTTAACTGAATTAATGAGATCATTTTCTGAGAGAAGGTAGCATTACCTTTGGAGACACTTGAAAATGAGCCGAGGCCCAGCGTCTGACAACGGGCTGTCCTACACTGAAATGGACCAGGTGGCCTATAGGTCCTTCTTTTTTTACCCCTCTAAATTTCTAGGATTCTCATGATTTGAATATTGATGAATGAACTCTTTGACTTGAACATTTTGTTTCTTCTAATTGTTCATCTTTTCCTGATAATTGCAAGGTCTCCCGGGAGGATGGAATCGACTGTACCTTTTATAAAAGGTGGATCTTTGCAGTCACAGATCTTATTTTGTCATAGTCAGACAGGATCCTAGATGTTCTCTTCTGACTTATCCCTCCTCCTTTAACGTAGCCCATGAAAAGCAAAGTGATCTTTTAAAGGTTGTTTTAATTCCATTTAGCTGGCTTGTTCTTGGTTCCTAGTAGACAGAAATGGGAATCCCGCAGAGAGAATCCAGCGGGTGGAGGTGGGATGAGCCGGGACTTGCTGGGGCGGCCCAGCCAACCAGGCGCCTGAGAACTCGAGCGTGCTTCATAAATGTCACTGAGCACTGACAGTAGGTTCAGGAGTTTAGGTGACTACGTAAGAATAAATTTGATCTTGGCTTACAGGTGTTCATTTCCCAAACAGACCTGTTATTTCCTCCTTCTGCCCACTTTGTTAGCGAGCAAAGAGAAGGAAGAAGGTTGCAGTGTTAGCGCTTTGACTAGTTTGCTGGGTAGAAACATCAGAGACAGGGACGGTTGTTACGTGTGAGTTTTTCAGCAAAGTTGAGGCGTGCAAGCAGGTTGTTAGGAAGGTGATTTTGTTGGGCGTTGCTTTTCCTTCCGATGCGGTGACTGTGGAACATGTGCGTTTCTCCTGCTCAGATGTCCGACATGCCAAAGCCTGCCTTCATGAAGCAGAACCTGGATGAGCTGGGCATAGGGACGTACCGCGACATCGCCTTCATCCACCCAGACACGCCCATCAGCAAGGCTCTGAGCATCTTCGTGGAGAGAAGGGTATCTGCGCTGCCCGTGGTGGACGAGTCAGGTCTGTGCGGGGCGTCCCGGGGCTGGGCAGCAGGGGCGCGGGTGGCGTGGGAGCAGTGGTGCCTTCAGTACCGTGGGGCACTCAGAAGGTAACTTTAAACCTGCCTTCACGCTTCCATTAAGACATGACTTCATGTCTGTCTTCAAATAGGCAAGTCATTTTATCTATTACTGTGTAGTTTTCTAGCTGAGATTAATTTTAAAGAAGCTTTTTTTGTCCTAAAATGTTTTTCTAACATATGTTTTCATTTTTAGGAAAAGTTGTAGATATTTATTCCAAATTTGATGTAATTGTAAGTATTTTTAATTTTTTTTAAGCCTGTCATTTGGAAAACATTTTTAAGCCCATTCATTTCATGTTTTTATGTTTTTCTCTTGTTCTCTAAAAATTCCTAACTTTTTTGAGTATGAGAGTCTTAAGAGAATTCCACAGACTCCCATAGTAATCAAACTTTTCGTATTCATAGCTTTAGCAATAAATTACATATTAATACATGCCAGTATTTTATAGTTCTCTGTGTATTTTGTATCCCTCCCTGTAGCACACACGTATATTTTAAGTGGTCGTATTCCTGTGTGCTCAGTGCACACGTGACTCCATGGGTCCCTTGCCAAATGTGCCCTCTCCTTCACTGACTAGGGGACAAACTGGACTAAGGGAGTGAGTTAAGTACTAAATGGAATTGTGTAGAGTCTTGTATTTGTCTCTGATTTAAATCTTAGGTTCCTTGTTAATGCTGCATCTTTACATTTGATGTTTTTCCCCACTCATTCATAAATGGAATTCTCTAACAGAGTTTTACATTGTCTCTAAGGAAGGGAGGGAATACTTTGATAGTCCCTTTACAGACGTTAGTCACTGTGGCATTAGAATCACAAATGGAGAAAGCCTTTGGTGGGCTTGACATGCTGTCTACCAGTCATGGCTTCCTGAGTAGGGTAGACCTGTAACATGAAATCTGTAATTATTGATGAGATGATGAACTAGCAGGACCAACAGCACTAGGAACTGGAAAGAACTTTTGGTACCAAATTAAATATTAAACATTTTAAAAGTCAAGTTGCCTTAAACATACTAATTTTGATCATTGGCGTGAATTGAAGAGAGAGGACGTAATCTGTGTTTCAGAACCTTGCTGCCGAGAAGACATACAATAACCTAGACATCACAGTGACCCAGGCCCTGCTGCACCGATCACAGTATTTTGAAGGTGTCGTGAAGTGCAGTAAGCTGGAAACACTGGAGACCATCGTGGACAGGATAGTGAGAGCCGAGGTGAGTGGCCCTAGCCTCTGCCACCGACCTTTATTCCCAAGTCATTCTGCAGCCAGCACCTTGGGAATTTGCCCCAGAGGAGAGACCCAGGCAAAGTCTTCCCTTTTTCCTTCTTCACTTTGCTACACTCATCATCACCTGTTTTCCAAAGGGTTTTAGTTGACTTAGGAATATATCCTAACGTTTTATTAATGTCCATAGAATTACATACCTTTCAAAGATCATAAACAGAAATAGGTAAGATGTCCCTCCCTATTTATGACCACCCATGTAATGGAATCCTTTATGACAATTTAAAATCATCGCATAGAAGAACATTCATGTGGAAAACCGTTAGTAATGCATTGATCGGGGAACAGGCCGATTGCGGTGTACCTCCAGTTCTCTGTGTTGCTCTCCGTGTGTCTGCCTCAAGGAGAGACGAGGAGGATGCGCCACACAGGACTCACGACGGGTCTGTCTGAGCAGCGAGTTCAAGATGACATGGTAGAGCGTGCATAGGCCCATGCTCTTCTGTGCTCATCTGGGGAGCAGTAGAAATCTGTGACATGAAAGAGACCAGTGAGGAAATGAGGATGTAATTAAGTCTTTTTTCTCAAGTTACACATCGTGACTTCTTCCCGTATTCAATTTCTTTCACCAGGGCTAGCAGAGTGGCTCAAGTGGTAGAGCGCTGGCCTAGCAAGCATGAGTGCAGTACCTCAAAAAAAAAGAAAATTCTTTCATGAGAAGGGCACAGGGGCACAAAAGCAGTTTCTAGCTTTAGTGTTTGTAGTTTGTTAAGAGAAGGATGAACAGTCTGGTAAAGATTCCACTTACCCAATGTGACAAGCCACAGCGCTAAGTTTTAGGTACCTGAGACAAGGGAGATTTGTGGTTTTAGACTCAGCAACAAAAGACAAGAAAATATTTTTGGTAGTCATTTCTATTTGATGGGCTGAGATGATTTCCCTTGACCATATAGAGCATTCATCTGATCCTAGATGTAAACCACCATCCTGATTTATAATGAATAGTTAATAGTTGTGCTCTGTTATATCATAGGATTGTTGAAGGACCTAAAAGTTTTATTAGAGAAAGTTTTTAAGGAAATTGATATTGATTAACATGAGAAAGATGACCAAGTGACTCACTGGGGTTTGTTTGTTTATTTGCTTGCAGTACTGGAGTTTGAACTCAGGGCCTCACTCTTGCTAGGCAGATGCTATACTACGTGAGCCACTCTGCCAGCCCTATTTGTGCTGGGTATTTTCAAGATAGGGGCTCACAAATTATTTGCCTTGGGCTGGCCTCAAACCTGATATCTGCCTCCTGAGTAGCTAGCATTACTGGGGTAAGACACTGGTGCCCAGCAACTGTTTTTTAACCTAATGTAAGCTATGATATCAAAGACATCTTAACAGTATCCTCAGAGACAAACATAAAAAGAGAACTTCCTCCTCTCTCCATCTCCTTCCTGTGTCCTGTTTTATACAAGGGACCAAGACTGTTCGATACCTCAAGGACCTCCCGGGTGACTAACTCCACTGGCCATGAGTGTTGAAGCCAGAATAGTTTGATGTGAAGACTGCCAGGAGCAACCTGCTTTCTCTTCCCACTTGGTTACAGGAACACCTCGGGCTCTCTACTTGTCTATAAAAGACTTGGAGCAGAGCCTAGACATCAATTCAGTCACCTTCACTTTATTTAGCTCACTTATCTTCAATATTACTTTGTTTTTAATTTGGCAGAACTGGAGTTTGAACTCAGAGCCTTGCACTTGCTAGGCTCTTTTTTTTTTTTTTTTTTGCAGTACTGGGGCTTGAACTCAGAGCCTACACCTTGAGCCACCCCACCTGTCCTTTTTTGTGATGATAGGGTCTCGGGAACTATTTGCCCAGGCTGGCTTCAAACTGTGATCCTCCTGAGATGCTAGGATTACAGGAGTGAGCCACCAGCACCCGGCTAGGTAGACACTCTTACTGCTTGAGCCACTCGTCCTGCTCAAGTATTATTCTTACTTTGTGAACTTCATAGAGAAAAGACACTACAGAAAATAAAAAGCAGTCTTAAGAGCAGCAACCCTATTTCTTTTCCGTAATCATCTGGTCTTTCCCATGTAAAACAGATGACTGTTTACTAGAAACCAAGTTGCAACCTTAAAAGTTATATACTGTGAGGTTCTGCTCTGAGCTGTATCCTTCATAGATAGAAGTTTGACAACTCAGCAAGACAAGGCTGGTTCATCTTTCCTAGGGTCAAGCAAAGCCCTCCTGTGGATTGGTCTGCCTTGCTACCTCCCTTCTTGGTGGAATGGATGTGTTACAGTCACGCATGAGAGGCACTTTCCCAGTGTCCATTTTCAAACTTTTTTTTTTTTATTGTGTTGGGTGGGGGTACATTGTGGCATTTACAGAAGTTCCTATAATATATAAAACTTGAATTCACGACCCTTCTTAAATGTTTTTAATTTGAACTTTTCTCCTCTTTGCAGGTCCATCGGCTAGTGGTAGTAAATGAAGCAGACAGCATTGTGGGTATTATCTCCTTGTCAGACATTTTGCAAGCGCTGATACTCACCCCAGCAGGTAAAGTGCTGATTTCTGAGTGTGGCCTTGGGGTGTAGCAAGGGTGGGAGGTGGGCCAGTTAGCACCCACCTAACACAGTGAGGTGTTAATGTGCGCTAGCTACTTGGTAAGCCATTTTTATTTTCTTTTCAGTTTTGAAATTGAAATGTTCCCCGTGGGTGAGAAGTTTGTAGGAATATTCAGAGGAATGGTGGGGAGAGGGCTTTGGACAGAGGGGTTAATGTTTCTCAGCCACCACATCTTTAATGGTGCCTGGGTGAGGTCTTAAAACCGCCAGCCTCCCTTCCTTCCTGCTTTGTCTTCCTCTCATGTTGTGCCTTCCCAGCCCCCCATCACGGAAATCAGCTGTCCTTTGTCAGGCCACAGACCTGAGGCCGTCGTGAGACTTGGTGGCTTGCTCTTTGAACTCTCAGAAGTTAAACATTAAGTGATGTGTCTCTACAGTATTGATTTTTCTTTAGTTCAGACATCAAACTCAGCTACAACTAGCTTTTATAATTAATCTATAACCTATAATCTATAACCTCAAATGCCCACCCTAAAGTGATACCCAGTACCTGCCAGAATCATGTCTGATTCAGTGCCAAGAGAAGAGTCCCAGAGAAGCTGTGACCTTCCCAGGCGGGCCTCGGGCCAGCAGCCTCAGCATCTCCTGGAACTTACTTGGGATGTCTGCTTGGGGCTCCAGCCCACGTTTGCTAAATGAGACACCATCTGCTGAGTCAGAGACGGGCCTCGTGCCATCCCTTTTGGGCTTCAAGTGTTGGAGAGCCTGAAGCTCACGGTGATCCAAGGAATGAGATGCTCACTGCATTACTTGCAATGCCCTAAAACCAAAAATAACCCAGATACTTTTCCGAAGAAGGATGGGTGGTTTGGGCTGCATTCATTCAGTAGAATGCTAGTCAGTGTTGAAAGGGAGCAGAGCTGCATTTGGCAGTGCAGGATTCTCACGAGCAAACCTGAGCAAAGCAGTCATGCTAGCCTCCCGTATGACTGTGTGTATGAATTGCCACTCAGGCAAAACTGTGTGGCCCTCCATGCAGACTCTTTCCCACAGCTACATAGAGAGGCGCATTCAGAAAAGATCAGCCTTTCCAGGATCAGCCCTGAACCAAGACACACAGTCACTCAGCAGAGAGCAGCTGATTGGCAGCTCCCATCTGTCCCTAAACCGGGATTCTTGGGACATTACAAACTCAGAGTAAACCACCAAGTGACTTATCTTCTGTGTACCTTGTTGTCACACACCACAAGCAGGACAGGGCTGGGCTAGAAGTTTACATTTCCATCTAGACTTGGTATTTCAAAGCTGTAAGTCATTCTTGCTTCTCTGTTGGTGCAGTGAAGCAGTCTGTTTCACAGCTGGAACTTGGAGAGTATGTAACCATGGAAATCATGTCATAAAGATGAGGTGGCTGGATCGGCGTTCTGGGCGATATGCTGTATATGACAGTTTGTTGAGGAAAATGTTCTGTGTTCCTGATGACTGGATTTCATGTGAACATTTCAAGTAGAACTCATGCAGAATGCCTGCACCTGACCAGTGGCCACTAATGCGCTTATACATTGGGGGAAGTGGACAGAATATGCAGCAATGAAGAGGCCTGCCCTGATAGCCCAGGGCCTACTTATCCCCTTGCCCACTACATCCATCTGTCTGTAAGGAGGCAGGTCCTCCCAACATGCTGAAATGGAACCAAAAACATGAACGCCAACTGCACAGTACAGCACTATGTGCCAAGACAAGTACTGTGGAGGGGATGTTTCTGGAATACTCAGTAAGAGGCACTTTGAGAAGCAGCCACCATTATTCACTAAGACTATTTCAGAAAACCAAGGACTGTGATGTGGCATAGTGGTAGAGCACTTGCTAACAGGCTCGAGGCCCTGGGTTCAATTCCCCAGAACCACAAAAATAAAAAAGAGAAAAGGTGGCTAGTGTGAGATGAGGAACTCGGAAACTGCCGTGGGGAAACCACAGTAGCTCTCCCCTCAGCCCACTGGGAAACACCATGGCTGGACACTTGCAGGTGTCACATGCAGCTGTCCTTAGTTTTGATCCTTTCCATTTACATTTTAATAAGAATGCACAGCTGAAATTCTCTGCACCTTTGCTACAACATACGCATTGCTTTTTCAGTTTTCTAACAGTGGAGTGTGACATATTTAGAAGTCCGTGTAAAGTGGCAGTAATGGTGGAAGGGTGGAGTGCTTGGAGCCACCTCTCCTTCCTGCCTCTCCCTCTTCCTAAGTCACTGCCAGACACGGCAGAAACCCTGATGTAGAGAGCTCTGCTGCTAGGATGAGCCTTGAAACTTTCCTTTTCCATCCTCTGACAGGTGCCAAACAGAAGGAGACGGAGGCAGAATGACCACTGTGAATGTAAACGCCCTCGTAGAACTTGAACAAGGCTTCTGGGTCACGTTCTGCCTCATGAACACTGGCTGCAATCGAAGAGCGTAAAATGGCGAAGAATGTATATCAGAGTTTAGTGAGGGGTATTTTTTCCAGTGATGTAAGCTTCAAAAAGAGATTTTATGTGCTTGAAGATTCAGGCTTGCATTAAAAGACTGTTTTCAGACCTTCATCTGAAGGATTTTAAATGCTGTATGTCATTAAAGTGCACTGTGTCCTGAAATGTTTATTTTTCATTTCAAAGAACTCACTGGTATGGACAGGTGAGGTGACATAAGGCGTGTGTGCGGCGTGTTGGATCACAGTGCCTTATGTCTGAACTCAGCAATACGTCATCGCTGCTGCCCTCCCGCCCGCCGAGTGCGCATGAAGTGACGCCGAGCTCGAATGTGGTCGTCTTGGAGCCTTTTACCAAATCAGCCTATTTTCACTAGATTTGTCAAAAAGTTGTGATTTGAACATGAGCAATTACTTTAAAACTTCAGTGACACTTTAACGTTTAAATGTTTGTTCTGAGCTGCCGTGTAAACGAGGCTGGCCTTACAACAGCTTTATTTATTTTTCTTTCATTCAGTTCTTTTACACATCTTCTGGTGGGTGAACGTCACGTGTCCATTAATAAACTCTTGGTTGTAATTTTAAAATGACAGGTTCTCGTTATTTAAGTTTGGCTCTGGAAAGGATCAGTCTTCTGAAATGGCGGCCGTTGGGTTTGGGAAGCATGTGTGGAACACTGACAGGGCCGGGGTCTGCGTGCCGGGAAGACGTCTGGGTTTTGGTTTTTTTAATGTGTATTGAAATGTAAAATCATGATGTTCATATGACTGCTGATGAGATTGTAAATTTTATTATGGCACATACGTTTCCTGATGTAAGTGCTCTGAAAATGTTGACACTGTGTATATATACATATATATATATATGACAAGAGTTTGGGGTTTTGGGGTTTTTTTTTTCCAGACTGAAAATTAAAATAAATCCTACTATCTACCGTTTGTTAAAGAAGTTCTTTAAAATGCCATGTATTCATTAGAATTCTGTGCACCGTTTTCCCCAAACATAAAAGCGCACAAGTTCTTGTCTCCTTCTATGCACCATCAGAAAAAGCCTTAAGGATTCAATCCATAGTTCTCTGTTACTAAATATAAACATATTGAGAATTGCCACATTGAGCCAGGCACACTGGTGGCTCACGCCTGTAATCCTAGCTACTCAGGAGGCAGAGATCAGGAAGATCATGGTTTGAAGCCAGCCCAGGCAAATAGTTTGCCAGACCCTATCTTGAAAAAACCCATCACAAAAAAGGGCTGGTGAAGTGGCTCAAGCAGTAGACCACCTGCCTAACAAGCATGAGGCCCTGAGTTCAAACACTGGTACTGCCAAAAAAAAAAAAGAGAATCCCCACACTGATTTTCTTCTGCTGATGCGTTTATCTATTTCCTAGCTGGGCAAATAGAAGAGGAAGAATACGTACACGTGTTTTCCCCATGGAAACCTGTAGTCTGAGCTAAGTTAGTGGTAATACCGGGGAGAAAGGAAAGAAGTCACAGTGCTGAAACCCAGACTCCTCTCCTCATCTGCTCTCTGTGGGTCTTTGCTTTAGTACACTGACGGTGTTTTCTCTTCCCATGAGCCCACCTGGGTTCAGCAGTCTGGTCCCCCTTCTGTGTACGTTTCCAGGTCTTTGTGCAGCACGTCAGGCCCACTTGGGTCTTTAGAGCACTGCTGTGAAAGGTCTGTTGCAGCCGTTTCTGTGTGAGGTGCGCAGCAGAGATTGGGGTGTGGAGATTGTGCTTCTCCCCGCTGTCCTGGAGATGAAGAAGGTGGTGCTGCAAGGAGGCCAAATCCAACGAAAGGCCAGGAGTTAGCAACAAGGCCAGACATAGTGACCCTGCCAGAGGAGCCCTGGTGTCTGCCCCTCCTCCCCAGCAATGTCTGCAGGGATCCCTAGGGCAGGGCCTGAAAGCTGTGTGTGGAGAGGCGCACAGGTGCCAGCGCCCTCAGCAGGGACTCCAGAAAGGAAAGGTTGCTACAAGGACTACAGTGGGAGCATGTCAGGGCCAGGGCGGGTAAGGTGGCTGACGTGTAATCCTAGCTACTCAGGAGGTGAAGATCAGGAGGAGCTGGGTTTGAGGCCAACCTGGGCAAAAGGTTAGCAAGACCACATCTCAACAAACAGTGTGAGTATGATGATACACACCTACAGGCTGTACTCCCAGCTACATGAGAGGCATAGGAAAGAGGACCATGGCCCAGACCTCCTCAGGTGGAGGATACTTGCTCTGTTTTGCATTCTAATCTCTTAAGATTTATTGAGCAAATAAAGATTTCTTGTAACATTTTATTAAACACTTGCAGAAGCAGTCTCTTAAGCCAGTGGTTCCCAGCCAGAGGACATTCTGACCTTGAGATATTTGGCTATGTGGAGACACTCTTGGTTGTCTGTCACTCTCAGGGGAGAGGGCTGCGGTTGGCAGCTAATGGATAGAGGCTAGGGAACTGCTTACTAATCTGCCACAAAAGGACACCCCCAACCTCAGACAGGAGATCCTTCTGGACCCAGATGATTCGATTCTTCTGGGTACTTGATTACCTTTGATTTGATAACCAAAGAACCGAACCCACCTGTCAGGAAGGAAAAGCCAGCAGGCAGCCTTTGAGGGAAAGGGGCTGAAGAAAATGACCCACTGGTGAGTTCCGTAAGTCCACCTGGCCCTTACCACAAATTCCTTCCCAAGTGTTTTCCCCTAAAGGAATTTTTGCTTGGCTGATAATACCCTCAGGAGGAAATTGCTGCCCAGAGGGACACCCTTGCAAAGAATTTTACTCACTGCATACATGTAGAACAGATGCCAGAATTCCACATAAAATGACCTGCAAAGCCAGCAGAAGCATAAGTACACACATCGAGCATGCTCTAAACATTCACCTGGAGCCCCTAAAATTCCTTTTCGAGGTAGATGCTCCTTGTCCATCTTCTTGCACTGAATGTCACATGAAACTTTAGAATCTGTGTCAGCAAGGGTACAGGATTGTTCAGCTTGGGGGTGCTTCCTGCAGGGAGGTCTGGGATGAAACAGGCCCCCAATGCCCTCCGACAGCCCTGTGCTGCAAGTGCTGCCAGCCTCTACCTGTGCAGGCCTCGCACATCAGACTAAAAAGTCACTGAGCCCTCCTGGCTTCAAGTGTGCCTTGCTCCTCCCGGGGGGACCTGCAGAAAATCACCTGGTTTCTTGTTCATCCATATAAGTAGCTCTGGCCATCCTCAGAGTCCACAACCGGATCTGGTCAGCAACAAGCCCACTGGAGGTGGGCCTCTGAGGGGCAGGGCCCCCAGGTAGCCTTCTCTAGTATATTTGGCCAAGAAAGAGAATGAGCTCCAAGTTGGCTCCTACTTGACACTGTCAGGGACTCATCTGTACCACTTTGTTAACAGCAAAAAGATATTTCCAGAAGATCTTGGTTCTTGTGCTCTGGCGTGGAAGAATCCAAGCAGAACATGTGGGTGTAAATGGAGTTTATTAAACGTTAGGAAGGAAAATACAAAGGGAGCACAGTGAGTGCAGGTGGAGTCTACCAACAGAGAGAGCGTGCGTCTCTTCTCCAGGTGCTTTTAAAACCTACTCTATCCCATGGGAAGAGCAGATCCAGGTGATTTCCATCCAATAATCAATGTGTGGGGTGGGGCATGGGCGTTTCCTGGCCAGGTGAGGGTGGTCTGGGCAACCTATATGTGAATCCCAAATTTACCCTACCTCTAGCCTGCCCCAACTTAACACGGGAGGACAGGTGAGCATAGCCCCTTGTCACTTCCCCACGGTTAAGGACACTTTTTGTCACCCACTCCTCTTGTGGGCCAACCCTCCCCCCCAGTGGTGAGTCCACACCAGTGTCCAGGCCTCCCCCAACCAGAGGCAGGAGCCAGGGGATGGCCTAATGCCTGGCACAGCTGCCTCCGGTGACCAGCAAAGTAGACTCGCACAGTCCAGAGTCAACACTCGTTCTTGGAAGTGCAGTCAACAGGGCCCAGAGCTGGGCTCAGTTACGTATTTGTCTGGAGTCTTCACCTGAACCTTTTGCTTCCCTTGAACTCTCCCGCCACCTTCCCACCTGAGCTGCCTGTGTGCCACCCCTCAGGAAGACAAGATGCTGCTCAGTTTCCACTGGCTCCAGACCCCTTGCTCAGTCAAGCAATCATCAGATCCCACTCCCTCCAGGGCCTCAAACCACTGGCTCCCAGCCCAGCTACTACACAGCTTCCTTCTTTTCTGCACATCCCCTTCTACACTGCCCCCTCAGGCCTGTGGGGCACAAGAAAGGTGCCATACTGACCCCAAGACAAGGTGAACACTTCAAACCAGGCAGGCCAGTGCAGGGAAAGCCTTAGCCATGGAGGTTTGAGGACAGAGAGGCATCACGCCCACCTTCAGTACCACACCCGTCTGAAGCCCTCCTTATGCTGGCGACTTCACCTGCCTGAGGCTGCATCCCTGCATGGCCTCACCCTTGGCTGCCAAGGGAAGGAGAAGCTGTTAACAGAACCCAGCCTCTGTCTCCCACCCATGAACCCTAGGGTCTGCCTTTCACTGTCTGCAGGGCACCCCACTTCCTCGAACTCCTGCCTCACCTCTACCATCCACACACACAAAGCAGACAGGCTGGAGCCCTCAGTTTTGTGCAAGTTTTTTTTTTTTTCCCCTTTGTGTTTATTTGGTTGGAATTTATTTGTTTGTTTTTGCAGTGCTGAAAATTAAGCCCAGGCCTGGGCAGGTGTCTCCTACTTTAATCATGCCCCCAGCCCTCTGGGTGATTTTCAACTTCCCTCTCTCCTCCCTAACTCTAAAAAGGCAGAAAATGGTGGAATTTCTGACTGTTTTCCATCGTATTCAAATTAGTCAACCCCAAAAGGCTTCCCTTCCAACTTCCCGTCCTCATGGTAAGACTACAGTGTTAAACTAAAAACCTGCTCAGCTCATTTCACTGCCCAGAAACTCCGTACACCTTTCCTGCCTGGCCAGCCAGCTCCACCTAGAGAAACTCTGCCCCTGTCCCCAGGCCCAAACCCAATAGCACTTGGCCATACGCTCCTGTGACTACCTGCAGGTGGCTGATTCCCTCACTGTCCCCAGCCAGCAGAGAAGTGGGTGAGACCTTGCTCAGCCTGGCTCTCTTGTAAAGTTCTTAACGGGGATAATATGTAGTCATGCATAGCAACATTTGGCCAATAGCAAAACAGCCCAACAGTGGTCCTGAGGCAGCCTAGACTTAGGGAAAGTTCGGGACTTTTAAAACCCACACAACCTGATTTAGAGCCCCTAGCTCCCCCACTCCCTGACCAGTCCCCTCTGAGCCCAGAGAGCTCCATTTCAATTGCAAACCCTTTGTTAAACTAGACTGGACATTTCCTCCTATATGGAGAATTAGCTTAGCTGTATGCATGAGTCCTCCAGAACCTCCTCCTGGCCAGAAGGCCACTGGAGATGGGGAGTGACTTGAATTTTCTCCCTATCTCTAGGTTAAGGATGATATAAAAACAACCTCAAATAAAAATCCTTCCCTTTTTTTCCTGCATGCTGCACCTCCATTCCACCTGACACACACCCCTGCCTGTAATCCCTTTCCTATAATAAATGCCATTATCGCCCTTGTTACCCCCATGTGTCCTGCCTGGACACGTGGGACACAAAGAATCTGGAAATCTGATCAGAGACTACAAAAGCCTACAAGCAGTCCCATGAGATGCTAATGGAGCTGAAAGTTTCCTGCCTTCTAGTGTTGTGGTGGCTGTGGTGAATCCCAGCCATTGTGTTGCTGGCAACGCTTTAGTCACCACTCCCATTCTGTGACAATGCTGGTGTGAATGAGCCTGCCAGGGAACAATGGCTACAGGTTATGCATTTGCTATTCTTTCATTGGTTTAGAGTGCACTTCCGCTGATGAAAGTAAAGGTGACTGTGAAACAGCATACCAGCAG